GGAGAGAGACCAGAGAGATACAAGAGAAAGATAGAGACAGGAGAGAGACCAGACAGAGACCAGAGAGAGACCAGAGAGAGACCAGATAGAGACAGGAGAGAGACCAGACAGAGAACAGAGAGTGACCAGAGAGAGACCAGAGAGAGAGCAGAGAGAGACCAGAGAGAGACTGTAGAGAAACCAGAGAGAGACCAGAGAGAGAGCAGAGAGAGACCAGAGAGAGACTGTAGAGAAACCAGAGAGAAAGCCGTCAGAGACCAGAAAGTGACCAGAGAGAAAGCAGAGAGAGACCAGAGAGAGACCAGAGAGGGCCGAGAAAGACCAGGTTTTTGTGAGAATGGAGGTGAGTTGTATCTGTCTGCATTCAGCTAGATGAGAAAGATTAGCCTGTTTTGAATAATATCAAACATTTCACAAACAATTTGACTAGAAAACAAAGGAGATTTGACAGATTAAAAGAAGACGAGTTTGGGTGAAAATACCAAAATATAGCGATATAATTTAAAAGAGTCTGTCCTCAGTTCCTCCGTTAATCCCGCGGACACACATCCTTTTGACACTACAAAGAATCACTGATAATTCCCTAAAACATCCGAGGACAGAAGAAAGAGAGGCTTATCTTTCCAATTAAAATGATCAAAACCTTCCTCTGCTGCTCTCCTCCTCCTGAAGGAAATACTGCAGATACATGCACTTTACTGAAGACAAATAAATGTAATGGGGCTGAGTCAGCAGAAAACAAGTTATAACAGTTATAAGTTATATTCAAATCTAACAAATGCATGAAAGTTCAGTAGGAAGAGGGCACACAACCCAGAAAGAGACCAGAGAGAGACCAGAGAGACCAGAGAGAGACCAGAGAGAGACCAGAGAGAGACCAGAGAGAGACCAGAGAGAGACCAGAGAGACCAGAGAGAGATCAGAGAGAGAGACCAGAGAGAGGCCAGAGAGAGACCAGAGCGAGACCAGAGAGAGACCAGAGAGAGACCAGAGAGAGACCAGAGAGGGACTAGAGAGAGACCAGTGAGAGACCAGAGAGGGACCAGAGAGAGACCAGTGAGAGACCAGAGAGAGACCAGAGAGGGACCAGAGAGAGACCAGAGAGAGAGAGGAGGGAGAGAGACCAGAGAGGGACAAGAGAGACCAGAGAGAGACCAGAGAGGGACCAGAGAGAGACCAGTGAGAAACCAGAGAGACCAGAGAGAGACTAGAGAGGGACCACAGAGAGACCAGAGAGAGACCAGAGAGACCAGAGGGAGACCAGAGAGAGAGAGGAGGGAGAGAGACCAGAGAGGGACAAGAGAGACCAGAGAGAGACCAGAGAGGGACCAGAGAGAGACCAGTGAGAGACCAGAGAGACCAGAGAGAGACTAGAGAGAAACCAGAGAGAGACCAGAGAGACCAGAGAGACCAGAGGGAGACCAGAGAGAGACCAGAGAGAGACAAGAGAGACCAGAGAGAGACCAGAAAGAGACTAGAGAGGGACCAGAGAGCGACCAGTGAGAAACTAGAGAGACCAGAGAGACCAGAGAGAGAGAGGAGGGAGAGAGACCAGAGAGGGACAAGAGAGACCAGAGAGAGACCAGAGAGAGACCAGAGAGGGACCAGAGAGAGACCAGTGAGAGACCAGAGAGACCAGAGAGAGACCAGAGAGAGACCAATGAGAGAGAACGAAGACAGTTCAGAGAGAAAAACCAGGGGCCGGAGAAAGACCAGAAAACAACTACTATACTTTGTCGGCCACAAATAAAAGTAATTCCCCAACATCCTACAGCCCTATCTGACTTTCCTGTCATTTTTTGCCCCTAAACAAAAATATTCCCGCGCTCATCTCCCATTGCACGCCTCCTTCTAGAACCCACACACACAGACACACACACAGACACACACACTTGACCCGGTTGACCTGAGTCTCCCTCGGGTTCTTTGTAGAGCTAATTTGCAAACACTTGGCTTCTAATCCTCCCCCTCTCTCCCCCTCTCTCCCCCTCTTTCCCCCTCTCTCCCTCTCTCCCCCTCTCTCCCCCCTCCCTCCCCCTCGTTCTCCAGCGTTCTCAAACTTCCCCTCAGCTCAGTTCAACGCAAGGATCTGGCATCGCTTTAAAGAGAGGTGCGGGTTTCGAAGGTTCATCAATCGCCGCAGTGAGAAATGTGACAAAACCAGGGACTTTCAGCAAAAAGGAAATAAACCTGATTTAATTGTATATTTTAAACAACACTTATTCTGAAAAATCCACTTATTGGAGTTTTCTTTGATAAAACAGTGTTCCCTCGTCAAAAACAGACCGTGAGTTGTTTTTAGATCCATCCACGTTGGTACCAGGAACTTCTATTCAGTTCATTGTGTTTGTGTTTAGGCAGAAATCACAACAGCAGTCGTCTCCAAGGTCGTTACGAAGTTGTCGATTCACAAACAGATTAGAGAATCAAACAGTTCAATCACAGGAAAAACAATAGTCGCAAATACAAAGGAGCCACTGCAAAAAGTGATGATTTGCTCAAATTTGGCAAAATGTGTCTTAATTTGAGCACATTCTGACTGGGCCGTAAAACAAGATTTTCCAATGGGACAAAGTAAAATGATCTTGTTTTAAAATGGTACAGAAATGTCTTTGTTGGAATGAGAAAATAAAGCAACAGTTCTTAAAACAACTCTAACTGTCTTTGTCCTGTTGGAGAATCTGCTTTAACAGTCAAATAAACAGAAAAACAACTCGATTCTAGCATTTTTCAGGACCCACTCATCAGGCCAAAGATCCAGGACTCAGGCTCTAGAATGAGGACTGGGGCGACCTCCTTCAGTCTGAAATCTCCTGTCTCACTCCTGGGATGATGTCACTGTAGCACTATGACGTCACTGTAGCACTATGACATCACTGTAGCACTATGATGTCACTGTAGCACTATGATGTCACTGTAGCACTATGACATCACTGTAGCACTATGATGTCACTGTAGCACTATGATGTCACTGTAGCACTATGACGTCACTGTAGCACTATGACATCACTGTAGCACTATGATGTCACTGTAGCACTATGATGTCATTGTAGCACTATGATGTCACTGTAGCACTATGACATCACTGTAGCACTATGATGTCACTGTAGCACTATGACGTCACTGTAACACTATTGTGTCACTGTAGCACTATAATGTCACTGCAGCACTATGATGTCATTGTAGCACTATGATGTCATTGTAGCACTATGACGTCACTGTAGCACTATGATGTCACTGTAGCACTATGGCGTCACTGTAACACTATGACGTCACTGTAGCACTATGATGTCACTGTAGCACTATGATGTCATTGTAGCACTATGATGTCACTGTAGCACTATGATGTCATTGTAGCACTATGATGTCACTGTAGCACTATGATGTCACTGTAGCACTATGATGTCACTGTAGCACTATGATGTCACTGTAGCACTATGACGTCACTGTAGCACTATGATGTCATTGTAGCACTATGATGTCACTGTAGCACTATGATGTCACTGTAGCACTATGACGTCACTGTAGCACAGCAATGTCACTGTAGCACGATGATGTCACTGTAACACTATGATGTCACTGTAGCACTATGATGTCACTGTAGCACTATGATGTCACTGTAGCACTTTGATGTTACTGTAGCACTATGACGTCACTGTAACACTATTATGTCACTGTAGCACTATGATGTCACTGCAGCACTATGATGTCATTGTAGCACTATGATGTCATTGTAGCACTATGACGTCACTGTAGCACTATGATGTCACTGTAGCACTATGATGTCACTGTAACACTATGACGTCACTGTAGCACTATGACGTCACTGTAGCACTATGATGTCACTGTAGCACTATGATGTCACTGTAGTACTATGATGTCACTGTAGCACTATGATGTCACTGTAGTACTATGATGTCACTGTAGCACTATGATGTCACTGTAGCACTATGATGTCACTGTAGCACTATGATGTCACTGTAACACTATGACGTCACTGTAGCACTATGATGTCACTGTAGCACTATGATGTCACTGTAACACTATGACGTCACTGTAACACTATGACGTCACTGTAGCACTATGACGTCACTGTAACACTATGATGTCACTGTAGCACTATGATGTCACTGTAGCACTATGATGTCACTGTAGCACTATGACGTCACTGTAACACTATGATGTCACTGTAGCACTATGACGTCACTGTAACACTATGATGTCACTGTAGCACTATGATGTCACTGTAGCACTATGACGTCACTGTAACACTAGGATCTACAGCCTCAGTCCTGGATCTACAGCCTCAGTCCTGGGTCTACAGCCTCAGTCCTGGATCTACAGCCTCAGTCCTGGGTCTACAGCCTCAGTCCTGGGTCTACAGCCTCAGTCCTGGATCTACAGCCTCAGCCCTGGGTCTACAGCCTCAGTCCTGGACCCACAGCCTCAGTCCTGGATCTCCAGCCTCAGACCTGGATCTACAGCCTCAGTCCTGGATCTACAGCCTCAGTCCTGGATCTACAGCCTCAGCCCTGGGTCTACAGCCTCAGTCCTGGACCCACAGCCTCAGTCCTGGATCTCCAGCCTCAGACCTGGATCTCCAGCCTCAGACCTGGATCTCCAGACTCAGACCTGGATCTACAGCCTCAGACCTGGATCTACAGCCTCAGTCCTGGGCCTACAGCTTCAGTCCTGGATCCACAGCCTCCGTGCGTAATTTGGATAGACTCTCTTCCATATTACGCACGACCCACGCACAGTAAAGTATCCCTCCTCCAAAAGCGCGCCAGTTGCATGTAAAATAATGAACCACACTTTGCCAAATCCTTAAGAATAATCCAAGTAAATCATATAATCCTTGAAATAACAGTGGCGTAACTTCTCCAGCAGCCCACGCATTCTGCAGTGAGACTAAATACGCAAAGGTCAAAGCGATCACACGGGAAGTCAGCTGCTTAAATAACTTAATATTTCACTTATTTTTTTGTAAATAAACTCACCGATTCGTAGTCGTCGTAATAGTCTGAGTGGATCGGGTCCATGGCGAGGTTGGCGTAAAGCAGATAAGCCAAGAGAAAAGTTATTCCCAAAATGTGCATGATGGCAAAGTCCAGAGACACACTCACAAAAACGGCAAAATGTTAAAAAAAGACATTTAAAAACAAATACAATCCCAAAGTCCAGTCCAGTCCCTGTGCGTTTTAACCTGTGGCTCCTGCTCTGGCTCCTGGTTTGTGTGGAGTGACAGAAGTGGGAATGAATGACTGGGGGTAACGTAGTTGGATCGGTGCGTCTGTGCGTAATCGTGTCCGAGGTTGTAGATGAGAGAGAGAGAGAGAGAGAGAGAGAGAGAGAGAGAGAGAGAGAGAGAGAGAGAGAGAGAGAGAGAGAGAGAGAGAGAGAGAGAGAGAGAGAGAGAGAGAGAGAGAGAGAGAGAGAGAGAGAGAGAGAGAGAGAGAGCTGCCTTCAGGAATCAGCGCGAGTTGATTTAAATATTGAGAAACAAGGAGGAGAGAGGAAAGTCCGTGCGTAATGGGGACTGTCTCCTGCCCCCTGTCGGTGAGAAAACAGAACTGCACTTATATTTGTGTGGACCTGTGTCTAATGATGACTTGGAGCAGCTCAAGTAATGTCCAAATCTATCATGTACAAGGATCAGAATTGCAACAACGAATGGGTGAAACTAACAATGTCTGGATAATATTCAAATACATTATTATTATTATAAAAAATAAAGAAAATGAGTTTGTTTGTTAATTACACAATGTGTTTCAATTGTGAAGGCACCTGCAGGTGAAAGCCAGATCATGTCAGATCACAGAAGCTAAGAAGTCCAGGGCCTGGTTGGTACTGTGATGGGAGACCTCTATGGAAACATTGGGGCGGCTGCGGCTGTAAAACTTTGGTTTTGTTTTGTTTACAAAGATCCCCAATAGCCACTGAGGTGCAGAGGATATTCTTCCTGGGGTCTCCTCAAAATCATTTCATGACCTAACATATTTGTATACACACACACACACACACTGTATTTATTTACAGATTTACATAATAATTATAATCAAGCAGCCTGAGCTCGGTCACACACCTGAGCTCATCACTTCATGGCTGCATGAGCCTCCCAGTTCTCTGCAGCTCAAGCTGCTGTTCGAGCAGCAACCCACCTCCTCCCCATCACTGTCTCTTCAGTAAAGTATCATGTCATGTCCTGTTCTGGATACATCATGCAGTGTTCCTGCCAAGGTCTAATCGCCAAAGCTTTATGCAATAAATATATTTTTACTCAATGAATGGGTCGGCTGGTGTCTTTTCATGCATCAAGACAAGAAATATTCTGCTGCGATCTTTGTCTCCAGTCTTTCCAGATTGAACTACTTTTACCTTTCACTTGTATGTATGTTTCAAATTTAGACATTTTTGGTTGCTCGGCCACCGACATTCTATGGGCCTTAAAGCCCCTTCTCTGCAGTCCGCTGGTTCTGGACTGGTTCTGGTCCTGGTCCTGGTCCAGCTGGTCTCCATAGCAACACACTGTTTACTGCCAGCATTAGCATTAAGTCTTTAGCATTAGCCTTTGGGTTGTGGATATTCCCACAAAAATAAAGGATATTTCAATTTCACCAGTTTCAACATAGTTCAAATGTTGGTTCAAATAAACGTATAAATGACTTAATATCAATAAAACTTGTGGGAAATTGTTCTCACTTTCTTGGAGATGTCTTCAGATGTTTGACTGGGAGCCGTCAAAGTGACTACTGTGGGAGAGCTAGCTTGATGCTGTTCCGTGTCACGTTTCTTTCACAGTTATTGAATTCCAGCAGAGAACAGAAACCTGTGGATCAGAGTCAGATCCGAGACCGACTCGACCCAAAACACACAGCGCTGTGTTTATTCAGACGATCTGTTTTCTGAATTATTAAAAGTTCAAAATCTCACAATCACAATTTATGACAGACGTATTGTGTTGCCACGACGACGGCAACAAACACCGAGCTCTGCAGGGGGCTGTGCAGGACTCCAAGTATGTGTCCAACGAGTCTGAACCGAGTCTGAACCGAGTCTGAACCAGGACTTTCCATAGAGAGAGAGAAACTATTGTCTTTCTCGTCTTTTCTTCAGCTTTAACTTTTCCATCGGTTTGAAGAGTTTAGAATAAATCTGAGACAATAGAGGCTGGCGCTGGTCATTTTTTCAACCCACAACCTTTAAATTTCAAGTATTCTATTTGGATCATCTTGTGTTCTCCCCATGTATGTACAGGTTACCTCCAGGTGCTCCGGTTAACCCCTATACCACAAAAAACATGTACAAGGAAGATGTAGAGGAATTGTATTATGGGTCAAATGCAAAAGACACATTTCTCTACTGTGACAAAAAAATTCTAACTTTTCAAAACTAATTCAGAGGCATTTGACGTTGCACCGTCTGAACCTTGTCTCAGTTTAACAAGTTTGAGAAGAGAGTGTTTAGACAGAAGGAGCGGGGGGATGTATTTGACTTGATCCAGAGGTTTCTGAGTGTGGTAGGAGCTAAAAACCACCCCAGGTCTGTTTTGGACGAGGGAACAATTAGGGAAGGCTAATGCTAACGTATTATGAATGGGAACTGAGAATCTAGATCAAACCAGAATTTCAACTTTCAATTTTAACTTTGAAATGTGGTTGTTTTCATTTCCTTTTAAGGTGAGGTCCTCATGAGTCAGACGTGGGTCTCTCTCTCACAGATAATCCGTCGCGGTCGCACAGACTCGCTGCTTCACTGGTCCTGGTTCAGTGAATGAAGTTACTACAAGAGCTTATCTGAGACCAGCAGGATTTCCTCCATCGCCGCGGGCCCTCAACCATCGCATCGCCAGAGCAACCAGACTCTGGGATCAAAGAGTACAGGGACCAGACTGGTGTAAGACCAGCGAGAGACCAGCGGGAGAGGCCAGAGAGAGAGAGACCAGAGGGAGAGGCCAGAGAGAGAGACCAGAGACCAGAGAGAGAGGCCAGAGAGAGACCAGAGAGAGAGGCCAGAGAAAGAGACCAGAGAGAGACCAGAAATAGAGACCAAAGGGAGATCAGAGAGAGAGACTAGAGAGAGAAACCAGAGAGAGACCGGAGAGAGACCTGAGAGAGAGGCCAGAGAGAGAGACCGTGGAGAGAGAGACCAGAGGAAGACCAGAGAGAGACCAAAGAGAGACCAGAGAGAGAGACCAAAGAGAGACCAGAGAAAGACCAGTGGGAGACCAGAGAGAGACCAAAGAGAGACCAGAGAGAGAGACCAAAGAGAGACCAGAGAGAGACCAGAGAGACCTTAGAGAGACAAGCAACAAAGAGGACAGAGAGAGAGCAGTGTGAGAAAGAGAGCAGATAAAGAGACCAGAGCAAGGCAGGAGCGAGAGACCAGAGAGAGATCAGAGAGAGAGAGACCGAAGAGCATCGCCAGAGCAACCAGACTCTGGGATCAAAGAGTACAGGGACCAGACTGGTGTAAATTAGCATTCCTGGTTCTGGCTAATGTCTTTGTAACATACCATAACAGCTACAAAATTACATATTGTGTCCAGTGTTGCTCCCAAACCGGTCTGTCCACTCTGGTGCCAGTCTGCAGGACACTGAGGGGATGGGATCTTGTGATGCATTAAAATGATGTATAACATTCAATTAAGGATGTTTTGTGGTGCCACCTGTGAGATGAAAGCCAGATCATGTCATACCTCTGCTGTGTAGTGCTGTGATGGGAGACCTCTGGGAACACCCGGTGCCACATTGGGGCGGCTGTAAAGTGCCAAACTGTGGCTGTGTCCTTAGGCAAGACACTCCCCCCACATTAGAATGAGTCTGGTCCATGTGTGTGAATATTTGGTGGTGGCTGAATGGGGCTGATAGCACTCTTTTCCTGGCTTCTGTCAGCTGTGGTTTCAGAGGTATAGTTTATATGGAGTGAATGAATAATGACAGGTGAAGCCTTTTTGAGTGTCCCTATTCTTGGGTTTCATTAAACTGGCCTGTAGGGGGCGCATGAGCAGAGGTGGGACAGTTCAGTTTTGGTCCCATTGAAAACCATCTAAAGTCTGTTTTGGAGTCAAAGGCTCTCCTCCTGTGCGGTGTACGGTTGTTGGAACAGTCTTAAATCGGGGACACTCAGTTCTAAGGCAGTACTAAAAATATTTCTCAAAAGAGTCTTGATTTTGGGCTTTTTTGGAAATAAAAACAGAAGAAATTGCTGCGTTTCATTGGGGTGGCCTGCAGGGGGCGCTTATCTGGGAAAGCCTTGATCCTCCTTGCCGCCTCATTCCAGTGATTTTTTCAAAGTGTCCTCCTTTATATGAGCACACAGTTGGAACATGAACAAACTCTTGTCTTTCTCTGCATTTGTGCGGTTGCTACAATCGTACACCGCACAAAAAGATGGTATTCTTCTTCTACTGTATCTCCGTGTATAAACCCTGCAGACTGCACCGCCAGGATACGTCACGTCCTGTCCTACGTTTGTTATTCGCTCCACTTCCCTGACGTCATATGAAACCCAAGAGTATATTATTTTTAAAAAACATTGCATTTTAAACCTCTATCAAGTTTTGAAAATCATAACCCTGCAATACCCACGCTCACCTCCAGGGGTCCACACTGGATAAACTCACTGAGGTAAAATCATGATGTGTTTATGAGCCACAGAGCCACGATCTTGGAGCCAGAGGCATTTATTTCATGCCCTCTAAACATTAGCACAAAACATCTGGAGCTGAATCAAACAAACTCCACGAGAATCGAGTGAACACGACTTTGAGACAGATTCTTGGATCGTCGCCGCTGCTTCTCGAGTCAAAACCTATTCTTTTTTTCAGAACGCGATGAGTTCTCGGCTTCCACGGTGTCACGCTGAACTCGGAACAATTGCATGGAGGTCATTTCGTTTTTATTTCTCCTCTGGGTTTTCTGAGTGGTTCTTTGTCGATGCAGGAGGTCGAAGGACAGAGCTGATCCTGGACATTATTATCATTTATTTAGTACTGACAGCTTATTTCTTCTTCATGTTTTCAAAGATTGTAGAAGTTTTTACAATAAAACAAAACAAAAGAAAGTATATGTTAGTGCTAAATATTGACAGACTGAGA